CATTTTTCAGTTCTCACAAACATGTGCAAATTATCTAAAACTGCTGTGCACGTTGTGTGAAAGAGCTCCCTGTCCTGCCCCCTGTCCTATAGAGCTCTCTCTTCTGTCCCTTAGAGCTCTGCCCTGCCCCTTAGTGGTCTTTCCTCTCCCCCCACCGTCCCCTACCAGTCTCTTTTCATCCCCCCCGTGTTCTCCTCATCTCCGCTTCTCCTCACCCCCCTCCCTGTGTTCTCCTCACCCCCCTCCCTGTGTTCTCACCTCCCCCCTCCGTGTTCTCCTCATCTCCTCATCCCCCGTGTTCTTGTATACTGCCCTATGTTCTTCCTTTACCCTCCCCCATATTCTTCTTACTACTCCCTCCCTCCCTATGTTCTTACTATTCCCCTCCCCTATGTTCTTCTTACTACCCCTCCCTCCTGTTCCTTCTTACTCCCATCCGTGTCCTTCTTACTCCCTCCCCTCCTCCTACTGTGTTTCTTATTCCCCTCCCTATGTTATTTTTACTCCCCCTCCCTCCCCATGTTTTTTACTCCCCTCCCTCCCCCTCCCTATGTTTTTTACCCCTCTCCCCGTGTTTTTTTACCCTCCCCATGTTTTTTTACTCCCCTCCCCATGGTTTTACTCCACTGCCCCTACACACGCGCACCCAAAGCCTACAGGAACCACAGCATAGCCATACAGTTTAAGTTCACCCACACTTTATATAAATAAAAAAAGGTTTACAGTGCAAATACTGCTGTTGCATATAATGTGCATAGAATTTGAACATTTTCAACAATTTAACATTTGCAAAAAACACCACTGTACCATAGAATCAAATATACATTAAAAAGTGCACAATAACTAAATCCAACATACTTAAAACACACACACACATACATACACACTCACATTAACATTTTTCAGTTCTCATAAACATGTGCAAATTATCTAAAACTGCTGTGCACGTTGTGTGAAAGAGCTCCCTGTCCTGCCCCCTGTCCTATCGAGCTCTCTCTTCCGTCCCTTAAAGCTCTGCCCTGCCCCTTAGTGGTCTTTCCTCTCCCCCCACCCTCCCCTACCAGTCTCTTCTCACCCCCCCGTGTTCTCCTCATCTCCGCTTCTCCTCACCCCCCTCCCTGTGTTCTCCTCACCCTCCTCCTTGTGTTCTCCTCATCTCCGCTTCTACTCACCTCCCCCCTCCGTGTTCTCTTCATCTCCTCACCCCCTCTCCTTGTGTTCTTCTTACTCCTCCCCCTATGTGTTCTTCTTACTCGTTCCCCTCTCCCTATGTTCTTCTTACTGCTCCATGTTCTTCTTACTCCTCCCCCCATGTTCTTCTCACTACTCCCCCCATGTTCTTCTTACTACTCCCTCTCTCCCTTCCCTATGTTCTTCTTACTCCTCCCACCTCCCCTGTGTCCTTCCTACTCCCCCCATGTTCTTTTTACTCCCCATGTTTTTCCCCTTCCCCTCCCTATGTTCTTTTTACAACCCCCCCATGTTCTTCTCAGTTACCTCTACTTCCCTGTAGCGTGGCCGAGCTCCTCTTCCTCCTGGCTGTCAGTCCGGCCGGGTACCACGCGGTACAGGAGATTGTTTCCTGTTCCCGGACGAACTGAAAGGAAGTGAGCACTCAATCTCCTGTACCGCACGGACTGTCAGCCAGGAGGAAGAGGAGCTCGGCCACGCTACAGGGAAGGGAAGGTGATGAGAGAGGAGTGCTGCAGCCGCCTGAGGCTCTTTACAGAGCGCTCAGGTGGCTGCAGCCTTATAGGAAGCACCGGCTCTGCTTAGGGCCCCGGGCCAGCTCGGGGCCCGAAGCAATTGCTTGGTTTGCCTGCCCATTAGCGACGGGCCTGAATGCAACCTTTTCAGAGAAAAGGCAGTGATTACCTTGCTGCCTAGGAACATCTCTAGTGACAGCCACTAGAGCTGCTTCTTGTCCAGTGCTGAACGCTCCCCATACAGATGCATTGACACAATGAATCTGTATGAGGAGATGCTAATTGGTGCGGTGAAGCACAGCGTTTTGCCACACATGCGCAATAGCCTCCCAATGCATTCCTATGGGAATTGAATTGGTGTTGACTGAGATTATCCAGTTGTCAGCCATGGTGAAGAGCACACTCTTATTACTTCAAAATGAGAAAGATAGCGTCATTTTTTTTACTGCTGTGCAATAGCATACATTCACCATTTCAGTCCAATTACAAAACTTTCCTTAATATGTCAAGGTAGTTGTACTGAAACATTGATTATGTGCAAATGCATGTCTGCTTACAACAAAGCAGCTATTATGTTTATTTTGAAGCCCTATGAGTGCTTTCTTTCATGTTTTAGTGTTAGTCTTCAGTTATAATGTTTTTATATCTGCACATGATGCATTATGGGGCTGGTATAGAATTCTTTTCCAGGGCTGCTTTTCATTCCCAGTCTGGCCCCGCGGAGGTACACACACAAGCACAGATACACTTTCACAGTTGTACATTCTCAACTACAGATACATATTCCCAAACAAATACAGACACACACTTTTGCAGAAACACACCTACTAGCCACACAAAGATTCACATACATATATACCTTTAATACACACAAATGCAAAATGGCACACACACTAACAAATATACACAAGCTACGACATACAAAGAGATAACCATAGGTACACACACGCACTGACACATACAGTGACACAATCAAACAGATACACACACCAAATACACATAGAGATAGAGATACACACACATGGCAATTCACATACACAGAGATATACACACAATGACACACATAGTTATAAAATGGCACACACTGACACAGATGCACAAACATGACACAGAGATAGTCACAGATACACACTCACAAACAATGACACATACACAAAGACACAAATGTACAGATAAATACATCAAACACTAAAAAAAAAACACACACACATATACACACACATAAGGGGTCCAGATGGATCAATGGGACCTATGTAGCACTTTTAGGGAGTACCTCAAGCAATAAGGGGACAGTGGATTCAGGGGCAAAATCCACAACAAATAAAAATCTATGTTTATGCCTGTATTAATGAGTGTGTGTGTGTGTAGTTGTGTGTGTGTGTGTGTGTGCATCAACTTTAGTGTGTGTGTGTGTGTGTGTGTGCACATTAACATTTAGTGAACACCTGATGGTGGGTCAGCATTTTGATCTTGGACCTATGCAGCATAATTTCTCATGCCAACCCTATTGACATGAAATATTATCCTCCCAGAGCTAAATACTAAGGTTCCCTACTTTAATCATGGACCTGGGCTGGTACACTGTTAAATGCAGATTGACTTGGAGAAATATTACAATTTCCCTAAATGGATCACATTCTGTTAAAGGGATACTCTAAGCGGCAAAACAACTTTAGCTTAACCCCTTAAGGACACCTGACATGTGGGGTTAAAGGATCACTATAGGGTCAGTAACATAAACATGTATCCCTGACCCTATAGTGTTAAAACCACCATCTAGCGCCCCTGGACCACTCATGCCTCCATAAATATAGCAAAATCTTACTGTATTCAAGCCAGAAGCTGTAGATCTGCATGCTGTTTGCCTAAAAAAAAAAAACAAGCAGTCTGCTGACATCATCAGAAGTGGCACCCTGATCCAATCACAATGCTTCTCCATAGAATTGGATGAGACTGACAAAGAGGCAGATCAGGGGCAGAGCCAGCATGATTCAAACACAGCTCTGGCCAATCATCTCTATAAGGAAAGTTTAGTGTCTGTATGCAGAGGGAGGAGACACTGAATGTTTGGATGCATTTTAGGCAGCCATGACCCAGGAAGGATCTCTAACAGCACTCTGAGGAGTGGCCATTGAAGTTATCAGTAGGCTGTAATGTAAACACTGCATTTTCTCTGAAAAGACAGTGTTTACAGCAAAAAGCCTGAAGGTAATGATTCTACTCACCAGAACAAATACAATAAGCTGTAGTTGTTCTGGTGACTATAGTGTCCCTTTAATTAAGCTGTTTTGGTGTATAGATCAGGGTTAGGCAACCTTTGGCACTCCAATTGCTGCGGACTACATCTCTTGGCCAGCTTTATGGCTGTAAGAGCATTATGGACATGCAGTCTAAAACATCTGGAGTGCCAAAGTTCGCCTAGCTTTGGTATAGATCATGCTTCTGCAGTCTCACTGCTCGATTATCTTCTGTTTAGAAGTAAAACCACTTTAATTTATATATATATATATATATATATATATATATATATATATATAAAATTTTCTTTATTTTTTTATTTATTTTTTATTATAATGTATGTATGTTCAAGTGAGTATTACCCTCTTGGTTCCATCTATATATTTGGGAGTCTAGGCAAATTCCCCAGTTTTGCACTCCTCCCTTTCAGAGGTGACCCACTCCAGGACCCTATTTAATCTTCCACTGCAGAGATTCCCAGAATGAGATTTGTTTCCAAGTAAGTGAAATAATCTCATAAGAGCAGGTATAAGGTTGCTAGGATAGGACAAGGCAGAAATAGTGTACATTAGCATTGTGGCAGCATAATGCAATGTATATGAGTGGAGGTGTTTCCTGCCATATCCATCCCACAACTAAGCCCCCTAAATGGTGGCTCTTTTAACAAGAAGTAAGGACCCTTCCAGGCTTTCTTGAAGTAGCTTCATGCTGAACAGATGCAGTGATTGCAGTTAATGGCTGTGACAAACCATCCTGGATATTGGCGATTGGGAAAAACACATCACATACCACCCAAATGATTTACACAAGGTATATTTGCAGTGAGTGGGTACCATCATGTGATTAAGACTGCAACAGCCAGCAATAATTGAAATAATCAGAATACAAATCACTTCATATCATCTATCAACCTTTTTTTTTTATTACTGATGTCCAAGAATTACAATATTTGTAAAGCACTATGCGTATGGATGCAACATAAGAACTGTAAGGATATAATCAACTACTTTATTAATGTGATAATAAATTAAAATAATAAGATTCAACATTGTAGGCACTAAATCTCTTTTATTGCATTAATACATAAAATAATATAGTTTCATCATAAGAAATATTTTCTTGGTATTAGAAGGAATAACAAAAACCTGTAAATTTGTTTAATTAACTACAAATGATATCTAAAAATATATTCCATCTGAGCTACAGTCTGTTGTGGTCACTCAAGTAAGGTCACTGTGGAGGCTTTTGTTGTGTATTAAGTAAAAATATAAAGAATGCTACTGATTTTCTTGATTCAGCTTGGTGTAAAGTCCTGTAGCAGCCATAGTATCCTTACGCGGATAATAAGAGGAGTCCCGAAACATACTCGGGAATGAGTAATCCATTCCGGGTCGGAAAGGAAAAGATGGGATAAGCCCAGATGTTATGTAGGGTGACATAAACCCAGGGAGTCCTCTGTTAGATGTAGAATAAGCCAAACGCAATGGACTAAGCCCAAGTCTAGGATTAAAGATACTTGCATCACCTCCAACAGTGGATACATTTGTGTAAAGAGGAGAAAAGGCAGATTTAGTTCCAAATGTATCAAACCCTAAACCAGTGACACTGAAAGTTGAATCTCGCGGAAAGGTTCCAAGATCAGATCCTGATGGACTTCCAGTATTCTTGGCATCGTTCTTGTGTTCTTTTCCATTTAAAACCAATTCAATGGATTGGACCACATCCCCTTTACAATATTGCAAAATGCTTTCTAGAGTGCCTCGTTTGTGGTTTGGGAAGACTTTACAAAGTATTTCTAGAGGATCTCTATGCCTAGAAGATATAGCTGGGACTTTAGAATTAGGAACGCTTTGTTCTTTGAGCCACTCACTTTCATTTCCAGATTCAGGGTCTGAAGAAGTTACTGAGCTCTGACTGTCATCACCTTCAGATCGGTCTTCTGATACTGGAGATTGCATATCTTCTTTGCTTGAGGTTTCTGGACCTGAACTCTTCAAACTCTGACTTACATTGATAATGCCAGCAGGAGAGGACTGTGACTGGGAATGCAGCATTGTGCTTGATATTCTTTCATAATATTGATTTTGTTTTTCAGCTGTTTCGTTAGAGCCTAGAAAAATAAGAAACAAAATTAAATTTTAATATTATTATGTGTGTATTGTGCTGAGTCATAATTTAATAAAGTATAATATTTCATATAAATGTTATTGCAATATTTTGTTTTCCTACCTGGACTATACATTAGCATGTTCAGAGTTGTGGTACATAACTGCTGCAGTACAATATTGTCCTGTTGCTTTATCCACTTTAACATACACACCCATTTATACTAAAATATATTTTGAAAATTATGCACTTTTTAACGGTAGTCACTGATGACCATTATATGTTAACTAGAAATAAAGTGGTAGTACATGGATACCAGAATATGACCTATGATACTATACTATTATGTATACTAATGCATTCACGATGTATGACAAAATCCTATTTTGTCATTTTTGTGTATGACAATATAGGCCAGTGAGCATGTGTGGTTTACCAGGACTATTTTAGCTCTCTTTGGGAGTAGTAGCCTATTTCTCCCAAATTTGTCTTTGAGCTGTTTAGAGTAGTTTGGCATGATGTAGTGCTTAATATCTAAGAGAGTTCTCATTATAAAAATATATACTATTTAGGGTTTTTGTTTTATCACTTTAATGATGTGGCCTATGAAGCATGTTAATCATTCAAACTCTTGATGGAAAATGATCAAACAAAAACATTAAATGTGCTATTCCTATTCTCACATAAACACGTGTGTAATCAGAACATATTGTTATTAATATACTCAGGATCCAGATTTATTTTATCATTTTAATTTATTATAACATTTGCTTGAGGGATGTGTGAAAGAGGGTGTTTTAGAGGGACTAGTTTATAAACTATTGAGGAATATTACTAAAAATTATTTGCCATAAGACATTGCTACATTTTTCTTTACATATGTAGCTGTTTTGGAAGCCTTTATGTCTCTATGTCATCCCATTGCATATTATTGTCCAAAACAAAATGATAATAGTATTCTTTCAACAAAATCTAATGAAACACAAAATAAAAGGTTTATTTTAAAATACTCTGAGATGTTTCCATTTCTTAGTAGACTTAGTAACACAAAATAATCCAATTCATGTTGCTCTTACAGAGGATCTCAGAGTGGAATGAATTCAAATTATAATTTGAACACCTTAAAGGTAAAGGTTGACTAGAAATAATTCCACTTGATTTACTCTCAGCCAGACAGAAAAGAAAAAAAATTAAATTTGGGGTCTATAGCAGAATATCAAGGTCTGTGAGCAGTCTGTGAGTAGTTGTTTTTCAAATCATATTTATCTTTTTTTTTTTATTTCTTTAAAGTTCCATTAATATTAAGAGTTAGGTTGGTTGCAATACAAAATTCTATTTCCGATAGCAAATAAATTTATAAAATGAATATAGAGAGACAGGTGGACAAACAGCCACTAGATAATGTTAGGCCATTTGCCCGGAGTTTGCACCCTATCCTTGCTATGCAAGGTTGGACAGCTTTGGGGAGACATTGTGAAAGTGAGACCATACAGTATAAATACATATAAGGTCATTTACTAATGACGGAATTCAAAGTGGATTTCAAATTTAAGGGCAAAGAAGCTCAAATTGAAGCATAGCTGACTTAGAGATTTTTTTTTCCAGGTCATGTATTTTGACCTCAAATGTGAAATCCTTACTTTGGTGAATAGTCCTGAGGATGCATTTTAGACATTTTTTTTTGTGATGCAGAATAATGATGCAGAGATCGTCATTAAGTATGTCAACAATATTTAAATTGTCTATTTAAGTTGTCGAGATCACAAACTCCATATTTTGACATGCCTGTCAAATTAAATGTTAAAATTTTGTTTACTGTCAAGATTTTTGATGCTCTACAAAACAACAAAACCAAACTAGATTTTTGTAAACAAATGTCACAGTTATGCTGTTTAAAAAAAATAAGTTGATGCAATTTTTTTTTTTTTTGATTAATAAAGTTAATGTAATTTTTTTGGGATAGGAAGACCTGTGAGCACTTTACGATTTTTTTTTTTGTATAACTGCGTTGCTTGGCAGTTAATAGTATCTGGCTGAAACTGAAATAATACTTTTATCATGTATATATACATATACAAGCACTTTATATACAAGCACTTTCTGGACTATTTGATCTAAAGAAGATCCTTTCAGCTAAGACTTTTATCATATATTTATATTTCAATTGGTCTATTTTGGCGCAACCTTTATCTTTGTTTGTTTTTTATCCTTATTGTATTTGAGGGTTTTGTTGAGGGATCCCCTTTAAAGGTTGCAGCCTTACTGTTATTTAGCGCTTACTCTTTTTCTTGATTTTATATATATATATATGTTTTATTTATTTTTTAATATATGAATTAATAGCATGTGTGTATTTATTATAGGAAAATAATGCTCTTGATTCGGGTGACATAATAATGAGAGTGGTCTAAAACTTTAAATGCCATAACTTTCCATATAGAAACACATAATTATTATATATTTTTTACATTATATTGTTTTTTTAATGTTGGGGTTAGTTTAAGTGTAAGTGCATAAGTGTTAGTAAGAGTGTATTATTTATTTATAAAATATTTTACCAGGAAGGATACATTGAGATTTCCCTCGTTTTAAAGTATGTCCTTGGTGCTCCTTAGAGCTCCTTAATCTCATGGCAGTACCTGAAAATACACGTACTAGTGTGCCTAAGATTATTTGGATTTACACTCATGGGTGGTAGCTGTTATTTGCAGCAACAGTTATTAATTCTTCTAGGGAGAGAACAGCAGCCACTGGTTTTGTAACTCTCACAAATCTCAAACTGTCCATAACACGTATGTGCTCACTCTGCCTGGGATTATGAGTCCCGATACTGCACAGTGGCTATTAAAGCATGAACTATAGGGAATAATACACAGTTGAAGTTACCAACTATTCAATATGCATTTCTAAAACATTATCAGCCCATTGAACTAACAGTTAAGTCATATAATATTTACACCATATATTAGATAAAAAGCAAATGCAAGTAGTGGTTGATTTAAAACATTAAGCAGCTTAAAAATTCTTCGGCAATCTGTGCAGTTCATAAAAAGTTTAAGTTTCGGTCTTCTTAAGGACTTTCCTCAGGACCTTACATGCATTCATTAAGCATTTTCTCTCTCTCCCTCTCTATCAATCTCATCCTTTTGTTCTCTCTCCTTAAAGACCTTTCATGGTGAATTATTAAAATGAGAATTGTTGGGAAATTGTTGTGAAATAAATGGGAATTTCACATTTTAGGCCGAAGTAGCCAAATTGGAAGAATAGCTGACTAGGAGAATGTTTACAGTTTGGCTATTTTTACCTTAAATTTAAAAATTCACTTTGAACCCCCAACAATTCTCATGCTAGCAATGCATCTTGTAACTAGTTTTTTTTTTATTATTTCAACATGGATATTTTGGCCTTAAATGTCCAAGTCAGTTTGGAATATGCACAAACATACAGAACTGCACAGTAAATAACTATTTATCATTACTGCTTTAGTAACTATTTATCATTATTGCTAGGTAACCACCATTTCATGCACTGTAAAAATGCTATTTTGCATGTATCTCTGAAGCATTATAATTTAAATAAATAAATATTGTTCTCAACCAAGTAATTGTATATTAACACAGCAATCTAATGCAAACAAAAAAAAGGATTTTCACATAAATTAAAGATAACAATTAGTAAGTACATGTTACCAAGTCATTGTAAGAAATAAATATTACTGAAAATAAATAGAATTTATCTTCGTGCTTCTCAGGGAATCAGTTTGGTATTCAAAAACATTGGAAAATGTAATAAAAAGCACTTCTAGAACAGACAAGATCACATGATTTGCAAAATAGTTATTGTTTGGTATTATAAAAACTGCAAGTATTACGTTATTACAAGATTTTTTTTGTGTGTTTACTTTCTGAAAGAATACACATAAAAAGGTTAGCATTTTGGGGGGTGGGATTTATTATTATATACTTGAGCAAAATTTCATATTTAAAAAAAATAATAAAAAAATATATGAAAAACTTCCATACATTTTGTTAATAGTCGAAATAATAAGTCAAAGATCACGCAGGAAGAAAATTTGAAAGTAGAATTTTTTGGCACATTTTTTAGGTTCTTGTATCAAATAATTAATCTTTATATAAAAATTATAACTTTTCAATCTACTTTTGTTCCTATAGTAAACATTACTTCTTTCTTATTTTTTTTTTCAGATTCTAAACATGTTTCGTGTGTAAATACAAACTGTATGTAGAGATTATAATTTGCTTAGAAATTTGTATAGTATATTTTGTTTTAAAATTATAATTCAATTGTTTCTTAGTTAAATATAATCCCCCATTACAGTATTATATTTCCCTTGATAATTTTATAGTTCTCAGATCATCACAATAGTCTTCAAATTGTTTCATTTAAAATGGATATCTGGTAACATATTGGCCCTATTCACTAAACCACAAACTCACAACTGGAAATTAATATTTAGACTAAGATAATTTAGCTGGAAAATACATAAATGTGTTGGCGAACTTTGGCATAACTGGAAACTTTTCCCTTAATTTTTTAGGTCAGTATTCAACTTGACACAACTCATTGTTTAGGCTTTAGGTCCCTAATTTTGTGAAAGTGTTTTCCCCATACAATTGTTAATTCACGAATGTGTATGTTGTGGTTCAATGACAACTTGTGTATTTTAGGCTACAACAACCTAGTTAGAAAAAAATCTCCAGTTGATATTTACTTGGAATATTTACTAACGTGTGAAATACGGAAAAATCTAAGGATATTTCAAAGTCATTTCAAATTGTAGATCAAAAATTTTATCAAACTAGAATGATTTTTCTTTAATTTTTAATTTTGTCTGCTTTGGCCCAAAATGTTAGAATTTCTGACAGTTCAAACTATTAGTGATGTGATGCCCCAAAAATAATTTAAGCAAATTCCACTTTTGCACAATTTATTTATTTAGTATTATTTTTCTTAATCGTTTAGTCCTTTTAAAAAACTAAAATATGCATATATAAAATGGACAAAAGTAGTATCTGCATTGACAACTACACAATGATAAAAATGAAACATGTTTTATTAAATGAATTTCTGAAATGTCTGAATAAAAAATGCATTTCTTTAATAATACATGTAACAATAGGCAACCATCTTTCTGAATTGAAAAACAACAACAGATATTTTAGAGTCCAAAAAAAAAGATTAAAAAATATGGCAAGTTGTAACTTTTAAATCAACTTGCAAAATGAATGCCAGGAGAGGAGATATGGAAAAATTCTAACTCATATAGATTTGCGATTTTGTCCAACTTTTCATTTTAGAAAACATGATGCCATTTCTCTAGCCTCCAGAAATTGTAGTCAAGTCAATAAATCTTATGATAAGTCGTTTTTTCTTAAACCTGTTTGCCTACATAATTGCTGTTATTATGACTATCTGATCTGGCCATGCATGTTGAATAAACCGTTTAAAAAGGAGAGATTGTTTTGCAGAAATACATTTGTTTTAACTTTCCCCTAAACCTTTATTCCTCCAGATAAAAATCATTGACTTGCAAAGCTTTTTTTTTATTTTTTTAAAACTTCATTTTTCATAGTGCCAAGAGTAACATACAGGCTTGTAATGCCCCAACGACAGTGACAAGCACATTATGAATTTACATGTGGATTCAATGTGCAAAGCTTTTTAAAGTGGCAAAATGCTCAAACATCTATTAACTAACGAGCCTATTTCCTAAACAGTGAAATTTTTCCTAAACAGTGAATTTGAAATATTTTCATATTGAATTACTTTGGCAATCAGATTTTATTTTAATGCAGCTTGTCAACTAACCACACATTTTAATTAGGGAAACTGTCCTGTAATGCACTAGCCATAGACCCTATTCGTCATCTCTACTGGCACTTAGATGCAAAAAAAGTTGAACAGTGAAATAAATTGTTCTAATTAAAAATAAACTACATTAGTATATCAAATATTTTGCAAACATGTTACTATTGTCTCATTAGTATTTTGTGATACAAAAAGTTTTCTCTTCATTCTAAAGAGAAAGAATCTGTTTGAACTTACCTTTATGTCCATCTTGGTGGAAGGCCTGGAGTGCCTGTGCCCTGTGCCCATTGGTCTCTCCTCTTCCTGTGCCAGGCACTGGGTACATGAAGTGCTGTGCCCCACGTACCTCACACTCTTCCTGTGCCTGCTGTCTCCTGAGCGCCACCTGCGCAGCCATCACCCGCTGCCTCTCCGCTATCAGCGTACATTTGGCGCAGGAACAGTCCCTCCAGCGGCAGAAGCGCTTGTGCCCTTTCAAGGCTGACACTACCCCGTGGTTGCGGCATCGGGCACATTTAGGGGTCCTTGGAAACAAGGACCCTCCACCTGACCCAGATCCTCTGTCCAGGGACATAGACATGCGTGGGGAGCAGGCAGCAGCTGCAGCAGCGGCTGCTGCTCTCAATAACAGAGCTGGGGGGCGTAGGTATGATGTGGGCATTGGCACGGCAGGGGGTATTGGCATGGATGATGGGGTGGAAAGGGATGCTGAGGTCGAGGGTGGAGGCAATCCTGGAGACAGGTGAGATCTGGAGCTGGTGCAGTCCATGGCTGCTGTACCACAGGTGCGCTACCCTGTTCCGCTCTCCACTGAGTCTCTCTGATAGATGATCCCAGCAACTACCCTCCTTCCAGGCCCCAGCACCTTTACTGTATTTTCAGCTGTTGCTCAGGAGTCAGGACTAGGGAATAAGAGGCTTTGCTTGGAAGGCGTTCCTCTGCATGCACTAAGCTCTCTCCGCAAGGCTGTGATGATTGTGTTAAAGGAGAATGTACTATTCAAATAAGTGCTCAGGGAGCTGTAAATTATTGTGAGGGCTGAGGAGTGGCCTGAGGCAGGCACCTGGGTGTGACTATTACATCAAGCAGTAATTTGTGTAACCTAATTAGAAATAAGTAACAGTCAACTTTTAATTTCACTGTATTGAGCATTGCACCATATTCTTGTTTTTCAACATTTTTCCCCTCTTTATTCCTCCTATATCATGCCTGTTTTTATTATTTCTTTTACTTTTGAAGTAGTATTACAAGAATAGCATTAGATTTCACTCCAGGCAAAATACAGCTAATTAAAAAAAAATATTTGGCACACAAAACAATTCCAAGTATATCAAGTCAGTCAGCATATTAATCTTTTATTTCTGGTCTGATTCTAAAATAGTTAGTGGAGTGTCTTCTTGGGAAAAGCCCAAATAATACTAAGTGACACCTGGATACATGTTATTTAAAAATAGCTTTCACAATTATATAAAATTCCATAAAAATACAGCCTTTTTTTTTACAATTTACATGTATTGAATACTGATAAAAATAATTGCAATAATGTGAATGTTTTGTAAATGCAATGAAAATGGAAAAAACCTTCCCATGACACATACAAAATGGATGCTACATTATTATATTACACAACAGCAACCTGATGCTCAATAATGACTTTATTCACAAAATAATTCCTTTGTGATGAATGGAAAATTGAATTACACTGGAAACATTTTCAAATACGACTGTATTCCAGTTACGTTCTTTAAGCCTTAATTCTTCAGTTCAGTTTTCGATTCATTTCAATTCACTCCTTAGTGAATAAACCCCAGATAGTTGCCATTGTCTGAGAACTAAACTGCAATATGTAAGCAAAATATAACCAGGTTACAGCAAGCTAGCTATGTGACCTTAGTCTCTCAAATTATTCCAATTTGCAGTTCAGTGGCTAGGCCTACATACCATGGAGGTGCTGTACCTTACAAGCCCAATATTATTACCTTATTCATTTTGTAAATTCACACAGTGTAAAATTAGGTGTCTTTCAGATTAATATTATTATTATTAGATTTTGATTTATCATTAATAATTATGTTATATTGTTATGCATGTGCAAATAATTAATATCTGAATAAGCAAGATATGCTGGAGCAAATAAAATGAGGCCAGTGAGGTTTAAAGTTGGTTAACCAATCAGGTTTATTAGAAAAAATCTGTCATACAAAATTAATTATGAACGATAGTAGAAATAAATAAAGAAGCAAAACACAAGCTATTCATGAAAGAAAGAAAAAAAAGATATCTAATTTTGAGGTTTGGAGATTTGTTTTTAGCTGTGCTGCATTTGGAGATTTTCAGGTTGATCAGATCTGCTGAAATTTCGATTTCTGAGCCGCCACATGACAGAATCTTGAGGGAGCTGACTTACTCAAGCTCAAACATGGTCATTTCAGTTCCTGATTGTCAGTGCTATTTCTTGCACCAGAAAAAGGGGGATGGAATTGTGAGGTTGTTGTTTTTTTCTTTCTGCTGTATTTGTTTTTAATTTTTTCGTGAGATAAAATAAACAGCTTAGTTTCTCATAATTAAGAGGTCTGCCCAATAATGTAGACTAGATGTAGTATCCAATGCAGAGGTAGCAAGGAAAAAATGATTGATGGTTAGAGGACAGCCATGAAACATTTATTTTATTCACAGATCAAATTAAAACTGACCAAAAGAGGGAAAAGGAGGAACAGTAAAACAATCTATACTTCCATGCAGGATTTTTTCAAACATTTTGGCTGCAGCTACTGCGGGAGACAGCCCAGTATATATTCTAGTGTGAGACCAGGGTTAGCTTGCTGTCGTGTCTGCCTAGATGGAACCTTTGGGGTGGTTTTGTTAATTAACAGAAGATAAGCCTATTTATTTTTTTTTCCACAAAATACCAATCCATTTTGCAACAGAAACACCCATTTTTGCTGAATAAAATTGTGTAAGATAGCATTATACACATCTATCCATATACCTAATTTATTGCAATTAGAAACACAACACACCATCATGAATGCCACGTTCTAACCCAAGCTGATATTTAAGGAGGGTAGGGGTATGGATCCTGTTAACCATTCCACCATTATAAGAAGTTCCATGGCTTCTTAGAGTTTGAACACCTCAGCCATGACACCTCCACCCAGTGGAGTACACACAATCCACGGGGCCCCCGTGTGAAACTGATCCATGGGCCCCCCTCCCCCAACAGACACACACACAGACACATGCATACAGACACACATACATACACACAGAATATACATACACACAGACACATACATACACACAGACACATACAGACAGACACATACACACAGGCACACATACATACAGACACATAGACACATACACACACATATACAAAGACCTATACATACATACAGACACACACATACAGACAGACAGGCACATGTACATACATACAGACAGATAGACAGGCACACATACATAAAGACAGACACACAGACACATACACACATACAGACACATACACCAATACAGACACATATACACACAGACATGCACAGACACACACAGACACACAGAAACATACATACACACATTCATACAGAGACACACACAGACAAACATGCACATACAGACAGACACACAAACACATACATACATACAAACAAAAACACACATATACAAAATGTTTAAGTCACCCTCCTGTTTCCTACTTTTTAGGTGCAGGAGAGTGACTTTCCTTGGTGTACAGTGGTGGCCTAGGATGGTGGGAATCAGAGTTCCCACTATGACTCCCTCTCCTTCCTCCCACTCTCGCTAATAGCTGAGAGGAGTGACCGGGGTAGTCACTTCCTCCCAGCTGTGATGTAATCACAGGGGGCCCGGACGCGCCCTCAGCTTTATTGCAAGTCTATCTGACCCTCACATATCTTTATTCAACAGCCTGATTTCAGAATTATCAAGCCCTAATACTGCTGTAAGAAAGTCTGATACCCGCTCTCCCTCCCTTAGCCACCCCACCCCATGCTCATTATTACATTTATAGATTGTCTGTCACACCCAAATCTTAGATAAGTAAAAATAACAGGTGTACACACTGCCTCTTATTAGTACACTCCTGTACTTTCTTAACCCATACAACTTAATAATTACCCTACCTTCACCTGCTCTTGATATTCCAATTATTTCCACTTTATTTTTTCCCAGTTTAGCAATGATCTGTCTTCTCCTCCTCTTTATTTCCTCCTTCTCCCTCAGTATAAAAATCTCTCCTTACACCCACTTCACTCATCCCAACCCCCCTTCTCTCATCTCATGCCTTGCACTCATTTGTCTACTCTCTCACTCCTACCCACAATCGATCTCATCCTAGACCCCATGCATACAAAACCCATTTACACCTCCCGTCACTTTCTCTCCTCCTGCTTGTAGCAGCTGGTGATGTCTCTCCCAATCCAGGGCCCTTCACCTTCTCTACACACACTAAGAAAACCAGATACCCCACAAACCTCATCACAATACTCTGCCCTTTACCCTCACTTACCAACATTCAGTGTGCACTTTGGAAGGCCCACTCCATCGGTAGTAATTTAAAATCAACAGCCATACAATACTTTTTTATCTCAAACTCACTCACACTACTTGCACTTACAGAGACCTGGCTGTCCCCCTCTGATAGCGCTAATCCTACTTCTTTATGTTTTGGTGAGCTACAATTCTCTCACACTCCCAGACTCGACTGTAAAGGTGGTGGTGTAGGCATACTTCTCTCCCCTTAATGTACCTTTCAACCAATCATAACTCATCCTGTCCTATCCTTTTCTTCTTTTAAAGTTCACACTGTCCGCCTATTTAAACCCAATCCTTTAAGAATTGCTATCATCTACCGCCCATCATCCTAGGCTATTTATTGAGCACTTTTCGTCCAGGCTTCTCCACTTCCTCTCATCTAGCACTTCTTTCCTTATATTTGGGGATTTCAGTATACCAATCAACAACCCCAACTGCACTGATGCCTCTCGTTTGCTCTCTGTAACCTCCTCCTTTGGCCTTACTCAATGGTCCAATTTAGCAACCCATACAGTGGGAAACACTCTTGATCTCGCCATCACCAATCTCTGTACCGCCTCTAATCTCTCCAATATTCCTTTTCCTCTATCTGACCACCATCTGCTGACTTTTGACATTGGCATACCTAAGACCCAATTGACACCACCGTCTGAACATCAATCTCACAGAAACCTCCAATGTCTTGACCTAGAGCATTTCTCCACTAATCTCCAAGCTCTCCTTTTGCCTATATCAAACCTTACCTGTCCTAGCTCTGCAACCTCCTTCTACAATTCCACCCTCTCCTCTCAACTAGACATCATGGCTCCTCCTACATTTAAACGCATTGAATGTGGATGGGGGGATGAGTGAAGTGGGTTTAAGGAGAGATTTTTATACTGAGGGAAAAGGAGGAAATAAAGAGGAGGAGAAGACAGATCAATAATTGGAATATCAAGTGCAGGTGGAGGTAGGGTAATTATTAAGTTTTATGGGTTAAGAAAGTACAGGCACAACAAGCTGACTCGATATCTCCAAAAATGCTCCAGAACTGCTGAACGCTGTTGAAGAAGTCTCACTGTGTGTCTGACTTTCTCCACTATAAATTTATGCTGCGCTCATACAGCTTGGCTCTTTCCTCTGCAAAAGTAAATTACTTCAATACCTTCATAACCACACTCTTCTGCGAACCCAAACGACTATTTCACACATTTAACTCTCTTCTTCACCCTATTGTTCCTCCTCCACCTACTAACTTGACCGCCTCAGACTTTGCAACTCACTTCACTGACAATATCTCTACAATCAGGGAAGAGATCTCTCATCTTTCTTCTTCCCCTTACAATACTTCCCCTAACTTCACACCCTCTGCTGTTCCATGTGTATTCGCACCCACTACAGCAGAAGAGGTTTATGCTCTGCTCC